AAAAAAAAAAAAAAAAAATCATGCTCCCAACAACTGTCCACATTCTCTTTCTCCTATATAATTAATTTTCCCTTCTTTACTCAATCACTTTCATCAGCATGTAAACATCATTTTTTAAATGTCTCCATTCACTTCATATCCTTCTTTAGCTCCCATTTCATTTCTCTGTTTTACTTTAAAAAATAATCCCCTGTAAAAAATTAACCTATATTTGAGGTCTACATTTCCTCTTTTATTATTTTCTCTTAAGTCCTCATCAGTCAGCCTTTCCCCACCACCACTCCACCAAAACAGTTCCTCAAGGTCACCAATGACCTCTCCATTGCCAAATTCAATGATCATTTCTCAGTCTTCATCTTAGTGTTCTATCAGCAGCATTTTGACACAGCTGATCACTCCTTTCCTGGAACATTCTTTACTTGGTTTCCAGAATCCCAGTTTCTCTACTTCACTGGCCCTCCCTCTGGTCTCCTCAACCCTTGAATATTGGAGATTGGGGTATACCTGGGCTTAACTCTAAGACCGCCTTTCTTTATTTACATGCCCAGATGATCTCATCCAGGCTCATGACTTTAAATAAAGTATATGCTGATCATTCCCAACTTGTGTATCTCCATCCCAGACCCTTTTTTAAATTCAAATTTCATTTATCCAACTCCTATAAACAAAACTCAATTCCTGATTGTGTGCTCTTCTCTTGGTATTTATTCCTCATTTCAGTAAATGGCAATTCCATTCTTTCAGTTACTCAGGCCAAAAACCTAGAATCATTTTTGACTCCTATCTTTCCCTCTCACCTCACATTCAAAGTGGTGGCAAATCTTGTTAACTCTCCCTTCAAAATATATGAGTCTCCCTTCAAAATATTGACTTTTGGACTCTCCCTTCAAAATATATCCTGAGTCCAATCACTTTTCACCACCTCTATAACCACCCGATCTGAACCACCTTTATCTCTAAGCCTGGACAACTGCAATTGCCCCTAACTGTGTCAGCCCTTGTTCGCCTGCAGTTTATTCTCATGACAACAGGCAGAGTGATTCTTTCAACACATCACTTGGATTCTAATCCTCATTTGCTCAAGACTATCAAATGGTCAGGATTTAGCTCCTTTACAGAATAATTTGACAAGGTAACAATTGAGCAAAGATGGAAAGAGGGTAAGAAACAAACCATGTGGAACTGAAGGAAAAACACCCCAGGCAAAGAGAACAAGTATAAAAAGGGTTGATGCAGGAGTGTCTCTGTGTTCAGGGGATGGCAAGAAGGTCAGGGTTACAGGAGCAAATAAGCATTAACACGGATCAAAGTCACCCAGAAACTCTCTCTTCCATGGTATGAGCAATTTCTAAACCCCTGGAGGACGTGCAACAATCATTCATAAAATTAGTGCATGAGAAAATGGCTACTACATCTATGAGGAACAACTGTGAAGTCATTCCTGGGGATGTTGAGGCAAGCTTTTAAAAAGTACCATGGGATTCAAAGAGTTTGGGGAAGGGAGTTGGAGGGATGATGATAAACCAAACTCAAGTTTTTTCTTAATTTTCAGTTTATAAAGCAAACCACCTACCAATAAATAAATAGCCATTACACTACCTAAAAATGTCAACCTGTAACCTGTAAATTAAAATGGAATTTTAAAACTTCTAAACTCAGAGGTGTGTGTATATATATATGACTGGTTTTTTTACATATACATACATATATAAACAACAACAAAAGTGAAATGTAGGATTTTAAAAGTTAAAATAACTCTTGTACATATACGGTAATAGGAAAGATAATTGCATATTTAGCACTTGGACTCATTTGAACTGCTAGTTATTTTAGTCCATGCACTGCATTTTAGCTCTTTTGCCCTATTTTAGTTTGTACAATATATTTTTATTCTACCAGCTATTTTAGACCAACATTCTTTTAAAAACTCTCAGATGATCCCTACTTTATTTCTTCTCAAAATGTTGATCCTAGAATTAATATAAATTTATGTTTATTGGCAACAGGCTGATTTACACAACTAATGTCATACTGAAAGAAATGTTGGTCCCAGGACTAATATAAATTTTTGTTTATCAGCAACAGGCTGATTTACACAACTAAATTCATAATAAAAGAAATAATACTATGAAGGGAATTTGGGAAACCATAAAAAGCACTTTATGATTGCCAATTTTCAAGCCTATCATACATTCCTTATTTTGCCATTGGAAGAACAAAGAAAACTCAGCACTTGTTTCTGACAGCAGTGGAAATGTTGAACACTAAGACTCAAGAATTCAGTTTTCCATTCTGACACTGATTTTCCTTATGACCTATAAGCCAATCATCTTCTGTGAAACTGAGTACACGATCATTTTAAAACAATCTTAATGTAAAATTAAGTTATAACCCGTAAATGAAGAGCAAAACAAGTG